GTTAGAGACCGTGACCTGGAATTGAAATGGAAAGGTGTTAATGTTTCATTGAATCTCTCTCTCTCTCTCTCTCTCTCTCTCTCTCTCTCTCTCTCTCTCTCTCTCTCTCTCTCTCTCTCTCTCTCTCTCTCTCTCTCTCTCTCTCTCTCTCTCTCTCTCTCTCTCTCTCTCTCTCTCTCTCTCTCTCTCTCTCTCTCTCTCTCTCTCTCTCTCTCTCTCTCTCTCTCTCTCTCTCTCTCTCTCTCTCTCTCTCTCTCTCTCTCTCTCTCTCTCTCTCTCTCTCTCTCTCTCTCTCTCTCTCTCTCTCTCTCTCTCTCTCTCTCTCTCTCTCTCTCTCTCTCTCTCTCTCTCTCTCTCTCTCTCTCTCTCTCTCTCTCTCTCTCTCTCTCTCTCTCTCTCTCTCTCTCTCTCTCTCTCTCTCTCTCTCTCTCTCTCTCTCTCTCTCTCTCTCTCTCTCTCTCTCTCTCTCTCTCTCTCTCTCTCTCTCTCTCTCTCTCTCTCTCTCTCTCTCTCTCTCTCTCTCTCTCTCTCTCTCTCTCTCTCTCTCTCTCTCTCTCTCTCTCTCTCTCTCTCTCTCTCTCTCTCTCTCTCTCTCTCTCTCTCTCTCTCTCTCTCTCTCTCTCTCTCTCTCTCTCTCTCTCTCTCTCTCTCTCTCTCTCTCTCTCTCTCTCTCTCTCTCTCTCTCTCTCTCTCTCAAAAGTTAGTCTAGTTCATGTAGGCCTATAGCAGCTTATATAACAGTGACATCTGTCCGTGACACCACTGTGAGTAAACTGTGTTGCAAATTACACATAAACTCGACCGCAGCGTAATAATTATATTAATACGGGATCTCTCAAGTTCACGAGTTGTAAGAAATGACCGAAAACAATTTCTGGACTTACATATTGATTGCTAACCTGCCTATATGGATCACAATAAACATTATAAAATGCATAACAAATTGCATTGTACCCTGTCCGGCAAATAATTCGCAGCGAAGCCTAATGCCAGATGGACAGCTGCAGAGTTAGGCTTACTCACTGCATAATTGTTTTACACTAACCCGGCTGAATTATTAATAACAAAATAATTGATAAGGTTAATCGAGTATGTATAGGCCTACGTACTGCACGGTTTAACATTTTCTGCTTCGTGAAGCTAAGTGATAACACATAATTATAAATAGGGAATAAATAATAATATTCAGCTACGTGAAGTTCAGTCATAATAATTTTATAATAATAATAATAATAACAATAATAATAACAATACTAATAATAATAATAATAAAGATGATGATGATTAGTATAATCATAATCATTATAATTTAAATATAATGGTAAAGACGATGATAGTTATAATCATAATTATTAAGATTATGATGACGACCATAACGATGAATAATATGATAATAATAATAATAATAATAATAATAATAATAATAATAATAATAATAATAATAATAATAATAATAATAACAATAATAATAATAATAATGATAACAATAATAATAATAATAATATTAATAATAACAACAATAATAATAATAATTTAACTAAACTTACTAGGCCTATCTGTTTGCAAAACAGAAACACAGGATCTTGCCTCATTGCCGGCCATAATGAGAGCTGATGTTGAAATTATAGGGTAAAAAAATCATTAAAAGAAAACTAATGATTTAAAAATACTTAAAAAACAAAACAAAACAAAAAAAACATAAATAAAATTATGAGGTAAAAAACAAACATAGAAACCAACTCGACGTCAGTAAGACTCAAACCAGGGATGCAATGGTAAATAGCGAGGGTGTTGTGGAGAGTTGTACTTGCACCTTAGAACTAACAGAACCTGACCATGTGAAGGTCAGCGCATATTTTGTTCGTGGTTTCATAGACTGAGTAAAGGGCGAAAATTGTTCACGCATGTCACGGCAATTTTGCGTTTAACCTAGCTGTAAGAACACAACAAAATCAAACTAATCATCAACAATGAAAACAGAACTTGAATATTTCTATTTTTTATTTTTTTTTTTTTGTGATTAATGTGCATTCAATTAATTAATTTAATCAAATATTCTTTTGTTTTTACAATATTGAGCTTTCTATGAAGGGAAAAAATGCAATTCAATTCATTTTATTCAGTCTATTATAAATAATAACAGAAATGTGATATTTGATATCATAATATTGAAATACTTAAGCAAAGTTAAATAGACACAACACCGATTGGAAAGCGTTCAATTTGGTGTCCATTACCTTAGAGTTCTACATGCTTTCGATTAATGAAACCACAGTACCATTACAAAAGACTCAGCTTGCATCAACAAATTTGCATCAACAAATTATGAACAATTACCGTCGATACAGAGGGGCTGTGATGCTTTGCGCGTACGTGACACAGGCAGGTAGGTAGGGATGCTGGAAATATGATGATTATTTCCAATCTGAAATTAAATCTGACTACGTTCCATTAGATTTTTGTTTAGTTTAGGTAAAGGAATATATTCATTGTTTTATACATCGGAAGAAACGATGTAGACCTATGCAGTGATTTTTACTTGTCTCTGTTTTTGTTTGTGTCTTTTGTTGTCTTTCTATGTCGATGTGTATCCTGACTGTACTGATGTGGATTGGTTGCTCAAGACAATTGAAATTTGGAGGAAATTTGGCTTGCGCTTTGCTGGAAGGAAAGGCGCATTATAAATGCCCAGTAACCAGAGACGGATCCAGAGATGTCCGAAAGGGGGAAAGAAGGTGGGCGGAAGAAAGTGGGGCTGAAAGTGGGGTCGGTCGAGATAACACCACACTAGGGGATCCGATGGCATGTTCTCGCAAAATTTCGTTTTCTAGACACCCGAAAATAACCTCTGAGGCGTTTGGACGATCAATTTTTTTCTTTTTCTTTCTTTTTTTTTTTCTGCTTTCCAAATGGGCATGGCCAGGCCCCCTTCCCCCATAAATTCTCCCCTGGTAACAGTGGCGGATTCAAGGTGGGGGCCAGTCCCTTCAAAAAATAAAAATAAATAATGGAGAAAAAATTGTATTAAAATTTAGGTCTGAGACTGTCATTTCCGGCCATCTAAAAGAGGCCATAATCATAAATGTTCTTACCTTAGCCCCACCCATGGAGGATGGAGCTGAGGTGGGTGGATCTCCTACGGTATTCACATATACTGCATAGAATAGTAATATTAATACAAAATAAAAGCGTACAGTCGACAGGCAATGCATTTATGTCTGTTGATACCAATAAGCACTTTAAATGCTTTAAGTCTGGTAGCACCAGAAAAATAAATAATCAAGGTTTGATAATCATGGGGCCCCCTCTACGAATTGCTTGATCTGTCACTTCTATGTGACAGATAAGGCTAAAATCACCAACCTGTAGAAAAAAATAGATAACTCAACTCATTTGTACCACTATCCATTAGAATTCTTAATCAAAATAATAGCAAATAATCATCATTTTAGTTCTTTGTTTTGCATTAATTTTGCTCTCTATTTTTGCAAAGTGATGATGTACCAACTGATCATTCGAAAGGACACAAATAAAGAAATCTTGAATCTTGAAATATCAATCAATCAATCAATCAATCAATCAATCCAATATTTGTTCACAAATAACTTTTCAAATGCTTAAATAAACAGTTGTTTTTTGAGGTCGAGATTAACTATAATTTACTCTTGAAGAAACTTAAAGTAGGTGCAGATCCAATGTCATATGGTAAACATAGAGCTGCCGCTCGACAGCTAAGACTTCTTTTTTTCAGTTCGCTATTTGGTTTTGGCACAAGCATGTTTAAGATATCATAGCCTCGCAGATTTTACACACTCTGCTCTCTAAACTCAAATAAATTTCTGTTATACGATGGGGTGAGTGAATTCAAAGTGTTGTATAATAAAACCATTATTTTATGAAATTATGTGACCTAAATTTATGAAGATTTGCCCAACCTAGTCTTGTTAACATATCATTTCACCTGATTCGTATCATCTACAGTTTAGAGCCAGTCGCCTTGCACGATTTATCAGGCGAATGTAAGTCTAATGCCAGTAAAGGGAAAGAAATCACAATCACATAATCCATTTTCTTTTCTATCGCGACGATAATTTTAGACAGTACCAGGAAACAAATTAGAATAATAATCATTTTTATTTTCTATCGCGACCGGGTACCGTTACGGCGTCTAATGTAAGACGACATAATAAATGGTTGTGTTTTTATTATTACACCAAGACCTCTTTTGAGTATCCTACGTGGAGGTTTTATAATCCTTTGTGATAACGTCTACATATTGTGGGATTGTGCATACCTTACAATAGTCTATTTTCTTGATTGTTTTCCTAGATAAGCCTACATATTGATAAGGATGTAGAATACGGTGTGTGCCAAGAAAGCAATTTTTGTAAAATATTTAATTTATGACAAATAAAGAATTATCAGCATATGATTTAACTAACAAACAAATTAACGTTAAAGTTTGATTAGATACTGTATTATCTTATGCTTTCCAATCAAATATACGTGAAAAGACATACGATATTTGTTTGATCCGATTCTGAAACAGCCAGCTGAGCATAACGCAATTATTGTTACTGCATACTTCATCCTCCTTGCTCCTGCCAGAAAAGGATGACGGCGAACGAACCTTTACTTGTGATGGATGTCTTGAAGATAGTTACGTGACTAACGTTATTAACAAGGGATTACTTTACAGCTCAAAGAGATATATTTTAAGGATTGGACTAGAGTTAACTGTACATGCTACTTAGACTTAAGTATCTACCTATCGAGCTACTTCTCATTACATACGCGATTGTGTATAAATAGACTTATTCAGTACAGTTATCAAAGGTACTTATACAGTACAGTTGACAAAGGTAGTGTAGTCAAAATTCATTGCACCACCGCGGCGCACCGCATTATACAGTCATCATCATGATCACATAGGAAAAAACTCGTCTATATCATTCATATTTTACAGAAACTCAAGAACTTTACAGATAAAATTTACTTACCGGCATGTTATAGTATCGTTCCCAGTTCAGGTACCTATACATACTGTAGTTGAAAGCTAAATGCCAAGTGAGACAGTGCAGTACCTGTATTATGATACGGCGTATGAATTACAGACTAATCCACTGACGGCAGGCACAACTTGAAGTTCAAGGGTCATAGTCCGCAGAGAGCTTTTATTTAATAGGACGCTGCAATCATGAAAACTGCTCGATCGTTACCATGGTGACATATGCCGGGAATTATAAATTAATTCTAAGAACTGAGACGGCTCGAAGCATCGACAGTCAGCATGCAAAGGAAATATTAACACTTTTGTCATGATTCTATGTATATTATAGGCTTAATATTCATATTCATTACTAACGATCACTTCATTAATTGCTACTGAACAGGTCTATGCTGGGCCACCGAGAGCGTTCTGCCAGGGCCCCGGGCTGCGTGTAGCTGGAGAAAACGATGGAATGATAGTAAAACAATTTTATCGTTTTCCTATGATTATAAAGTAATTTGATTTGATTTGTTAAATTATTTTTGTATCGTATACACGATAAATCGTTATAATCGAATCTCATTTCTTTTATTTTCTATGTGAACAATTGCTTTTTAGCTTTTTATCGTTGATCTCGTTATATTCATAGTGTAAACAGACCTTAAGGTCTGTTCAACAATTACGCTATAAAATATATTTTGCAATGCGGTAACAAGGAATGAAAACATATGCTCAATGTTTGTTTTCAATTTGTGTCCTTCCTACACGTTTTTGTTGACATTTTTTTTTAATTGAAGACAGTTTCTAGACAGTATGAAAAGTGTAGTATTCTAGAAATTATCGATTGAAAATCCGTATTAGTATGCACAATATTTTTTTTCTTTATTCAACAATACATATAAAGATTACAAGAGACATTCGACAGAAGAAAAAAAACACATTGCAAAAAAACGATGAAAAAAAGCTTTTCTCTCAATCTTAAAATTTCAGTATACATTGAAATAAAATTGCACCATTTTTATACATTATGCAACTACTGTAGTTCTTAAACTTTCCACAGGAAATTAATAAAAGCAAAAAGAAAATTATTTTAAGAAATAAGCTTGGCTTAAACCTCTTCACATGTTCTTTATTTGTTTTCTTTCTGTTTCAATTTTATATGTTTGTCTTTTTGGTTTTTTTTTTTTTTTGTTATTTTCATTAATTTTATCGATTTTTATATAATTTTCCTTTTCTTTTTCCCTTTCCTTTTCCTCTCCCTTATATCTTTCCCTTTTAGTTCTTTTTTTATTTGGTATTTTATTTGTTACATTTTATAGGCAGGCACAATATTCAATCATCATCGTTGCCGTCGCCAAAAACGGGAGCATTGTATTTAAACCCTCCACGCTGTTGTTTTTTTTTTTTTTTTTTTTTTTTTTTACAATGTAGGCCTATATTATATTTATATTAAAATAACAAAATAATCTTTCTTTTTCTAATTTTTTACTTATTTTGTAAGTAGGCCTAAATATCAACGGTCTTCCAGGTTTGTCAGGAAGTCTGCCAGAGTAAATTAGGTAAAACTGTAAAAAAAAGTGTACACGGCGGTAAACCCTAAAGCATTTTGGATTTAGTCTATCGTACGTGTAAGATTAGAGAAAACGCTGTATTTTAGTCATTTCATACATTAATTTCAATCAAACATGACATTTGCTTTATTGTATTGGATTGGATTGGATTTCTTCAGGGTGATAAACACCAACTAAACCACAAAAGTGCTAAGACTTATTTCCAGTGGGGTCCTTGGTGGTGGTGGTTGGGCAATACACCGGGAGACAATCCCATACACATTTCCGAAGAGTGTACTGCGTTCTTTAACGTGCACATGGGCCATTTTGCACACGGGAACAACGGCTTAAACCTCTCATCCGAAAGACGGTGCACCTTTGAAACTTGCATTTTCAGCCCTCCAGCTAAAAAAGGGGGAGAGCAGCAATGGGAAATGAACCGGGGCCTGAAGATCACCACGATTCACAGATGAGTGTTCACCACCAATTTAACCGACTGAGAGCTCTCAAAGGTGCGTTTTCCCAAATTCAATATTGATCATATGTTGACTGGACGTTAAAATGTTGATGAGCTGAAAGAGTCTATAATTTTCATTTTATTAATCAACTCAATGAGTCCAGTTCAAAGTTTAAAATCTTTTTTTTTTCCGCCACTGTCATAATAATTCATTTGTTTTCTTTTGTTTTTTGGGGTTTTTCGGGGGGGGGGTTACTTTTTTCTTCTGTTTATTATTGCAAGTATGAGATGTGCAATAATAAAAACAATTCGGTGATGAAAGACACAGATTGTTATGTGATCATGATAGCAATATCGATTCAATATTTTGTTCTCTTGGTAATACGGTAGGTAAATTGTCTTTATGCATTGAAACCCATAATCCAAGCGCGAAATACAAAAACAATAATATGAAACCATGGCTTCAAAAAGAAAAAAAAATCATTATTTATTTGGGATTTGAGCTGAGTCTTGAAGACAGTCACAGATGGGTTAACCACGAGAGTCTTATTATAGGTGGTTTTAGAGCCTCGGAGCAACTACAGAAAGAGGTCTCCTCATGAATTAAGGCAAAAATAGAGGAAGATGTAGATGAGGCAGACCTCGGCGAGTGAAAATTAGATTGGAGATGTAGTGAGGGGTGAACGATGGAGTAAATTATATATATATATATAATATATATATATATATACATATATGTAAAAAATTAAAATCCAATTCGGCTTTGTTCAAACGAAGAGTAATCTTTTCATATTTCCTTAATAAAGAAACTGGTAATCTTCTTGAACTGAAATCCTTGATAATAGAACCAAATGGACGTAAGTTGACAAAAAATACAACGCATTTTAAAAATAACACAAAAGATTTAATGGCAAACATGTTTCGGGTTACCTTCAATCCATCATCAGTTAACAAAAAACAACAAAACAGAAATGAACCAAATACTCTTGTAGACTATATGTATATAGGTAATTATCATGCTGAATATTAAAGAGATAGATTG